GTCACAGGCAAGAGTCAAAGGTGCCCACAGCAACAGAGCTGCTAATTTAATTTTGTCCTGGGAGTAGAGAGGCACTTCTCAGTTACATCTTCATGAACTCTGTCCATACATCATGACACTGTGAGTTGAGTTTTTTCTTTGTTTTGGTTAAAGCTTATGATTTGTCAAATGAAGCATCAAATCCTGCTTTCCCCCTGTATCACTAATTAACCCTACATGTGTATGTTCTCTGTATGGTCTTCAACAGACAATGAGCTTTTGGCAAAATGAGTAAGAACTTTCCACTTCTCCCTTAGTTTCATCTTCATGTAGCTTACCATTGACTTACATGCACAACTCAGGTCAAAGGATCTACATTTAGAATACAAGTAAAAATTAGGACATATGGCAACAATAAATCTGATCCTTAAAATTATATAGCAACAAAAGGTGAATGAGTAATTTTATTGTTAGTATATAGTAGAGTAACATATTGGGATCAGAAGTATTATTTACCACACATAGAAGGCAGTGAACTGGAGGTCTATAATTTCAGTGCTCACTATTTTTATCACTTTCATGTTATCAGTTCAGAAATCCCTTATGGAATTGATATACCCTGATTTCTCTCTCCAAACAATTATATGCAATCTGCCTTGCTTCCAACACATATGCATGTTCTCTCGTTCTCACACACACACAAAGGATTCTATAACAACAGGACTATTATAGAGAATGATCTAAAACATGTGGACTGCAGCCAATACTTAGATATGGTATAGTAAATTCTGGAAGGTATAAAAAGGAAATAAATGAACTCATTGCAGAGAAAAATGAGCCAGTCTTAAGTACTTTTAATCACTGAATTTCATATAAAACCATATGCAAGATACTGAGCCCAATACTGAAAGGAAAAGAAAAGGAGCTAAGGGAGAGGAGAAATCTAGTTCTGCTGGGATTCTGGATGGGAGTTGCTTAGCGTTTTTACAAGAACCTTTCAGGAATTAATGAAAACCATTTAAGCAAACATATAAATACGTTTACCAAGTTGTATGACAACTGTGACCTGTGAATCTTATCATGCATTCCCCCAGCTCAATATGAGGTAAAAGAGGTAGTCAGTATGTTGCTGCTCTTTCCTTCCACAGACAGCTGTCACACCTGCTCCGCGGGCTACTCAGTTACTGTGCCCACTCCCTGGGCCCAAAGGGATCTCTGGGAGGGAAAAGCAAGTCCCCACAGCAGTACCAGGGATAAAGGAAGAGTGAGCCACTTTCATTCCCCTTTCTCAAAATACCCAACGGTATCCAAGTTTTTGCCAAACCAGTTTTTGCTGAACATCCCAATGCCCTGAGTGGAGCACTATTGCTTACTTTCACAGCTAGGAGGCTGTGGATTGCATCTCCTCTGTGTCTGCCCCTTTGCCGTTTCCCTGGGTGGGTATGTTAAGCCTCTGTAGATATTCACAGGCATAGGCAGTTGCCCAGGATTCTGCAAATAGCTGTGTTCTAAATTTGCATAAAATTCTGTGCATGAACTGAAACCTGCTTGTCATTAATCAAGGGATTTAGTGAGCTAGAGTTTTTCACTGAGATTTTTGCTGAGCCTGGAGTTCAACATTTTCACACTTGCAGATTGCACTTAAAAAAACTTGACTGAAGGCATCTGTCAGATAAATAGTTGTTCAAAACTGTAACAAATGCCAAACAACACTTTCTTGTTTTAGTTAGTGTTGGACATGGATGTGAGAGAAGGATAGACAGGGGATTTTTAGAAGTATTAGTCTAACTCAGCAGAGGGTGAAATACCCACTTCAGCAGCCTGTTTCATAACTGCTTCCTAAAGCACATGGAAACACTTGGGACTGATTCTGCCAACTCTGCAAAAATAGAACTTTATCAGAAATCAGCTTGAGTCTTCATGGTGCTGTGCTGCATAAATCAGGTTTTACTTGTTAACAATAAAAAAGCAAAATTACTAGTGAACAAGAAACTACATCCATAAATTAAAGAACCAAATCCACATAAAGAAATTAAAACCGAAAACAAATTCAAAGATTCCATGAGTGAAAGGGCAAATTTGTTTTGAATTAGTGAATGTAGGAATCAATGAAAAGACACTACCAGAAAATTTGCTCTTCCAACACATATCTTCAAGCCCAGAGCTAGTGAGAACTAGTGAGCAGAGGCACTTCTATGGAGGGGACAGGAACACCAGTTTGCTGAGATGAAGTACTGAGTATTTCATACAGAAATGCAAAAAGTACCTTCTGGGCTGAAAGAAATCCCATTATGGATGGTGACTGCCTAGATGTATAGCCATTGAGGTGCAGTGGAAGCATGTTTTGGTCCATAAGGTGGCTGTGTTGCATTTTGAAGTAGCTTTTAGGTTGGAGAACTGTTACCAAATAATCCCGTGTGGGCCGCTTCCACTGCAGCTGCACCAGAGTTAGCAACAATGGGAACCTTAGTATAGACAGCTTTCAGCTCCAGCAGCCGTTTTCAGCACTGTATCAGTTAACTCTGTTCTGAGGAGGGTTAATTGACACAGTGCTGCAAATGTCTGACTAGATGAAAACTCATATATTATGCCTCCCAACATCTCTAACAATTGTGCAGCTGCATTCATATTGGTAATGGTGGGAATTTGGAGGAGGGAAGAAATTCCCCAGTGCAGGCAAGGCCTGAGAGTGAGCCTTAATGTTCTTCTCTGGGTCTTGTTTGTCAGTCGCAGTCATGCTTCCCTAAAGCATTCCCCCTGCCGTTTCCAGGTTGCTGATTATGAAGCAGCAGCCGCTGTTGGTCCCACCAGCTGGATGAAAAGAGTGGAAAGTGGTGATTCACCTTGGCCCATCTTATAGGTGCACTCAAGTTTCCTCTCTCTTCTGTCTTGTATCCCCAAAGACCACAGGGAGCCAATTCAAAAAGAACAAGGGAAAACAAAAGTTAACTTTTCCCACAAATACAGACAAATTTGAAAAGTGTACTTCTCCTGCAAGAATTGGTTCTCTAGAAACAGAGTATTAGGATTCCCAGATCCTTGAGTACCCACTGTAGCCTTTGACGACACAAATATCTTTAGCTGCTCTGGTTGGCCACAAATGTGGAATACCCAACCAATATACAACCCCTCTAGCCATGGCAGCCTCTAGCATTGGTAAACCAAGACTGTTCCTCTAAGGAGCTTTCTGAGGCAGTGCCAAGCTGTACGGTCCTTGAAGAACTGAGGAAACAGGCAGAAAAATCCTTCTAAATTTTACCATCTGCGTTTCCACCCTGGCCAGAGACCTTTTAAAGTTCAAATATTGCTGCTCTCCCTGAGCTAAGGCCTTAAACTTACTAGCACTTTTGAATAGCTTGCACTCCATGAGAACTAGGGTGGAGAAAACATGACCCCCTTGAGCAGAACAGAGAGGTGCCGTGACTCTTTGCACTCTTACACACACGGTGAGCAAGCATTGTAAATCTGGTGACAAACTTTCTATCACACAGTCTGCATCACAGATCTTCAGGGAAATGTTATAACTTGGGAAAAAAAAAATGTTCTCTCTGTAAAGAACTGCCAGTTGAGACCATCTGAGCCCACAGAATTCCACTGGTGAAAGCTAGTTATACTTACGTATGGGTGTTGTTAGGTTGCTATCTATAGGTGACATCTCCCTGTGACCATGCACAACATGAGCCTGTTGATTTACAGGCTGTGCTTCTTCTACATCCATGGACTTTTGAGAAAGGAGGCAGATGAAGAAGTGAGCAAGGAAAGCCGTTTATTGGTGCTATCTATAAGCTCCAAGGCCTTTTTAAGCTGTGATTTTCTGTCTTCCTAAAAGATACTTTCCTGTAACGTTGGGTTCTTTGTTCTGATGCAAAATATTATTGCTGCTGTTAGAATGCACAGTTGAAAAAATCATCTCAGAATACTGAGGCCAATTAATCCTCTACAAGCTACCACACTGACTGCAGAATAACAAATGGCTTCGAAGTGTTCTAGGCTAGACAGCACAATCCGCACCTTATTTTTCATTGTCGTCTTCTTAATCTTCTAAAGTTCCTCTTATTTCTTTGGAAATTTTCTCTGTTTTTAAACTCACGGAGACTAAAACTAGGCCTTATTTTATGTCTATAAATTTCCTACCCTATTATGAATGCTTTCAAGGTGGTGGTGGGGGGGGGAATAAAAGCACTGACAATTAATACTTTTGTTGATAGACTAAAGCTTAAATCTCAGACCAAAGCTGGTGGAAAGTAGGTCATCTCTACTCCAGTGACTTTGCAGTTTTCCCTCAAATTAATTATACAGTTGTATTCACTGGTGTTTGCACTGAATATAGTGCAAATATAGTTATACTCGCAGAGAATAGACTGGAACAGTGGAAGGAACAGCTACCACATCTCTTTTGGAAAGGAACCTGGGACAAAACCAAGAGCTGTTTCTGGCTCCTCAGCTTCTACCAGCCACTTGAGGAAATCAGGCTTTCTGAGTTCTGGATATTGTGTCAAACCACTACACTATGTTAAGATACTCCTCATCTCATACAGCGGCTTATCATTTGATATCCAGAATACACGTAGGGCTCTCTGGATTGCTTCATGGTGCGATGGTAACTGAGTACTGTACGAAGTGTAGTCGGGACTACAAGACTTTTCTTACAGCTATTAGATTTAACAGGTGGACTGTGTCTATCTTCCATAGCTAATTGCTTTTTGGGATGGGAGGGAAGCAGGCTTTGGGAGCCTTGTGATTGGATTAAGAACATTTTGGGAATATTTTCAGCCTTAAGAAGTATTCTAAGATTACTCTTTCTTTAGCCCATCTGTCTGCAGTGTACTTCTTCTATTCCTCAGAAAATAACTCAGCTGTCTCCTCAGCCCAGTCCTTGCTGGTCAATGACTGTGTATGCTTTGTTGTAGTAACTTTTTGCCTAAGAACAGGCATTTATTTATTATTATTTATCTATAGACTTAAGAATTTATAAGTTATCAAAGCAACTGGCTGTATTTTGATAACCAGTACAAGGAGAGTTGCAGCAGTATCTCTGCCCTCTTCAGTACTGTATACGATAATGCAACTTTTTATTTCCTTCTGAGGGCTCTCCTGTGCTTGTCCACCTCTGAGTAGGGGAGGAAGGATGCGACCTGAACTTGAGGGAGGTATGGGACTGGAGAAAATGCCCAAGTCGCACATGAAGCCCAGGTGCGACCGTTTTCTTTGGGGGACACACAGACAGCGTGATCCTCCCTGGCCTTTGTGGCCGTCTCCTTATGCCACAGAGAAGGGGCGCCTACCCATGGCTTGCACGGGAGAGGACCGAACACCGGCGAGGAGAGCGAGCTCCTGGACACCCTGCTTACCGAGTATGGGAAGAGGTATCGCCTGCAGCCCCGCCGCGCTTATGGGAAGAACAATGTCGAGGCAGGGCTCTCCGCAAGAGGTCATTCCCCGTGCCGTCACCCTCCCGACAGCACCGCTCCGACCCGCTGTCGGGTTACACCGCCCACATCTTACTCCGGCGCGGCTGTCTCGGGAGGCGCCGACCCCGCGCCGCAATGGCAGCGCCTTCCCGGCAGCCGCACTGGCGGGCGGGGGGCCCGCTGCCCGGGGCCGAGCCCGGCGGGCCCGTCCCAGGGCCGGCCCCGGCGCGGCCGCCTTTGTTCCGCGGGGCCCCACGTGCGGCGTTGGCCGCGGTGTGTGCGCCGTGTGCGGGGCGGCAGAGCCCCCCCCGCGCCGGGACCGCGGGCTGGCCCTTTAAACCTGCCGTGGCGGCGCGGCCGGGCCGGTGCGGGACACGTGAGGCGGCGGCGCGTTCTGCCGCCGGTGCCCCGGCTGCCGTGCTGCTCGTGTTTTATCTGGCCGGCCGCCAGGCCCCCATCGCCGACTTTTCGCTCTGCCTCTTTTTTTTTTTTTTTTTTTTTTTTTTTTTTTTTTT